ACATTGAAATGCTCTAATGAATTTTTAATGCTTTAAGTTGTCTAACTGGATCTTATTACAAAGGAGCTGAAGACACAGAAGCATGATGTTTCCTCCACTGGCACACTTAAGAAATCAGCAGAGACATGCCAAAAAATGTTCTGCTTTCAAAACAAGGCTCCAAGACTGAACTTGGGGGGGGGGGGAAAAAAAAAAAAAAAAAAAAAAGTGGTTTGTCAGGGTTTCTAGAATTAAACTATTGCTGTTGATATGAAACCCATATTACCATTTCCTCAAGCTGGCTTCACTTTGTTCTGCATTCTACCTCCCTGTTGGTATGATATTGCATCTCTGACTGGCTGGCAGATGGCAGAAACTGATCACTTTTGACGGCAAGCTAAAGGTTAGAGAACTGTAATTGCACAAACAGTAGAAGAAAAATTCTCCTATTAAATTAAAGGTGCAATTTCCCTGTGAAATTACAACACAGTTTTCAATACAAAGGTCTGCTTCATTGATATCTGTTGTTGCACAGTTTTTCTACTCTGTCCAGTAACATGTACTGATTAATGAGATTGAAGAGGAAGTTCACCTTAATTTTTTTTTCTCCAATAAAATGCGACTGCGTTATCAATGCAATCTGTCTGTCACAGGTTATAAACACTGCATGAAGTTCTTTGCAACATGAGCACAGGAATAAATGCTAAGCACTCCTCAAGCTTTCTGCTCTTTGCCTGGCAACCCATCCATTGGGCTCAGCTTGCCTGGAGGCTTCTATTGCTGGAACAACCTATGTGTTATCAATACCACTAAAACAATGGGGTTGGCTGCAGGCAGAGTGGTAGCACAGTGCCCAAGCAGAGAAAAGAGCCCCATAGAAAGCATGCAGAGAAGTGGCTTTGAATAGTGTAACTCACGGAGCCCCACAGAGCATTAATGCATGCTGAGGTTGCTGTGCCAGGGCTCCACTCAGTGAGCTGCATCTTCTGGCAAAGTGACAGGGAAGTGTCAGGGCTGGCCAGAAAGCCTAGCTGCTCATTCATTTTCCTCATGTGACGGAGAGGAGGAGCTTCAAGCACACACTGACATAAGAACTGCTTCCATACAAAAAAAAAAAAAAAAAAAGTGGTGCTTCTTCACGTAATGCTTTTTCTGAGCACAGTGAAGAAGGTCCCAAAGTTCATCTGCCCATAGACTTCCTTGAATGGGAAGCAACACGTGGAAAGTGGATGCCTTCTTCCCAGAATACACTCTGGAGTGTTTGAGTATGTACCTCATCCTCCTCCACATTTGTTTGTTTTATCCATCTGCTATTGCCCCATATTTAATTATGAATTGAAAGCATTCTCCTGGAGCTGCACTCTGAGCTTTTTAAACTGAAGTGTTTGAATAAGGCCTGTCACTACAGGAAGGATGTAGAGGGCATCACATTCCCCAGCTGCCTCACATCACCCTTTCCCCCTCCCTGCACCTCAGACCCTGATGCAAACTGAGAGAGCTCTCAGCAGCTGCTGCCTCTTCCCTCTTCCCTGCTGAGCAGCTTCCAGGTGGGAGATGAAACAAGGAGTGACTTTAGTGTATGCTTTCCAGTGCTTTCCAATGACACACTACTAGAGGATGGATTCCTCCATCCTACATAGCCAGGAAGGAAAGAGAGACAAAAATTTGGAAGAGGATTCATGTTGTTCCCTGATTCTCCCTGCTCCAATCACAATGCCTGGTTAAAGAAATGATTTTAATTTTTAACAGACAAGTAGCCCAAGTAACCATGCACAGTCCCACAGTATATTTCTTCTGGCAGGACATGCTGAAGTTGGATGTCTTGGCAGTACTCTGAAGTTGGGAAGTCCCTCCTTTTGGAGAACTTTCCAGGAAGGGGTGTTTGGGGGTGATTTCCACTCCTTTTGCACTGGTTGAACTGCCATATGAAATAACCTGTTAGAGTCTTGGGCTCAGAAGGAGCTTCTCCAGCAAAGTGCCTGTAAGAGCAAGCTGAAGCCCTTCTGCTCAGCCTAGAGTGTGTCCCTGCCACTGCAAGGATGATAAAAGCTTCATGGCTGCATGACAACCCACAGAGTAGGGGATGTCTGTATTTTTTCTGCACTGTTCTTCGGGGAGCAAAATATAAATCTTTTCAACGTGTAAATAACCTGCTACTGAAGCATTTGTTTTTCTCTGAATAACTCCAACAAGCCATTTGCATTTTATAATTTCACTGATAGGAGGCAGTTTCAGGTAGCAAATTTGCTGCTTTGTTCTTCACAATATGAGGAAATTTCACTTTAAAAACAGGTTTTCAACTTCAAAGCCTTATAATCTGACACTTGAAACACAGCACTCACAAACTACCCATGTTCCTCCACATTTTGGCCATTTGTAGAGCCCAAAAGTGGTGTGGAGCCGACTGGCAGCAAGAGGGACTGAAAAAGCTCCTGTGTGGGCTTCTGGTGCAGCCAGATGAGATGAGGGAATTAGAGCCAGGGTGTGGTTCCCACCTAGAATGCCTCTCCTGCAGTTCACAGACCTTCACACTGTCTCATCAACACATGCTTCCTGCTCTCCTTCCAAATATGCAAACTGCACCCTCTCCCAGGGCCCTCCTTAGCTTAAGGGTGCTGGCATGCTCTCTGCTGACTTTCTGGAACCCAGAGATTTCCAATTATTTCCACATCCTCCTCCCGTTTCTCTTCTGGCTGCGGTGCCTCTGGGCTGCCTGCTGTACTTCCCACTCTGCAGGTCTGCAAGGCAAAGGCAGGAAGGCCAATAATTAGGAGAGCTGAGTGAAATACAGGCAGGGCAGAAGGGAACAAATAGAAATTGCCTGAGGTCAGTGCACTCTCTCTTTTCCCCTTTTCTCTGAGAAGGCCTTCATGTCTCCTCAGTTCTTGCTATAAGCTTCCCAGCTGCTTTTAATTCAGCACCAAGCTCTGTCTCTGTCAGGTTTTAGAAAGAGAGAAGTGCCTTTGCCTCCAGGTACGTAAGGCTGCATCGAGGTGAGGTATGGGCAGCATGTGACAATAACATACTGCAGCACGACTGAGAAGTCTTGAACATACTGTTCCCGTGTGTGAACTCATTGCATTAGGTGACACCTTTCAGATCAAAAGTTGATTCTCATTTATTCCGGACCTCACATTTCATGCTGACCCTCTTATCTAGGATAATTACTGTACATTCTCCACAGCGAGTCTGCAGCTCACACCCATCCATCACTCAGCCCAGCAATTCCCTCAGTTCCCAGTTATCAGCATGGCCCAGCTGTACAGCCATAGGTCCATCCCTTAGCTCTCCAAAGCTTGTATAACAACTCTCCATCTTGCAATCTGACTCCACACCTGCCGTGCTGGAGATGTGGTGGCTTTCAGTGGTCTCCTCCAAGACCTGCCCTGGCCCAGGCCACAGAGGGTTCCACCTACGTGCCTGCAGCGGGAACTGCTGCAAACAGCTCCTTCACCCTGTTCCCAAGCCAAGTATGGCAGGGAAGGAAAGAGAAGGAAGGAACAGGTGATAGCAAATGGACCTGCTGTTCACAAGAAGGGTGGGGGAATCATGGAAAAATGACCTGAGCTACAATGATCTCTTGGTTTCCCCTTTCTACTGTAAGGGTGATTACTGCTGTTCTCACCCTACTCTAATCCAACTCTTTCCCCTGCAGGAAGAGGAAGAACTGTGCCCATCTTTTGCAGAAGTCCTGGTTTGATGCTTCACTCACTGAGAACAGCACTTTCCCCTGGCAAAACTGTGAACCTTCTGAAGGTCTCTGGTCAAGATATTGACAAAACTGTGACTCTTACGTGACTATCTATTAGATTGCCAGCATAAAATAAAAGCCAGGCATTTATCTGATTAATTACTCCTTTCATTTTATACATTATTCTTATTTCAAAATCTGTGTGTACATTTGCAGGTTCTAACAATAGCGTGTTTGTGTGAGTCCAGCTGACCAAACAACAGCGCTATTTATAACTACAGATGACCGGACTTTGCTATATTTTCATTTATGTAATTTTCCTTAGATCATTCATTGGAAAGTGGTCGTACTTTCATGTTTCTCACACGCAGAGGCCCTGTAGGTTAGCACACAGGAGATTAACCTTGGCAAGCTGCACCACTGGGCTGACTGAGGAGGAATTCTCACTGCAGCTGTCTGAACCAACAACGCATAAGGTCTGGGGCTGAGGAAGTTCTCATCAGGCAGCAGGTAACAGCAACGCTAGTGTAAATAACTTCCAAATACAAACCTTTGTAAAACTAGAAGTATTTTTCTTTCTTTTTTTTTCTTTGCCAAAGCGCACTAGCATTGCAGTGAAATGGTAGACATGAGAAATTCCAAAATAAGTGACTAGGATATTGAGAACTGACATTAATTAAATGGGACAAACTCCCATCATGTGAAGCATCTTCACAGTAAACAACACTAGAGCATGCCCATCCATGTGATGGAGCATCACTTTCCATCCATGCATACCTGCAATAAATTAAAAAATATTTTGAACGTTTGCAGACTCTTTTCTCTGTAGCTGCTTAAGTGAGGACAGGCAATGACAGATGGAACATCAAATGCTGCATCTTTGACGTTATTTTATCTACAATCTTTTCCCAGTACGTAGAAGACTTGGAGTAAGGTACACTGTTGTCACCAACTGATAGTGCTAGTGAAGGTGAATTCACTCAAACAGGCATACTATTGCCAAAGAAAGACAATTTGCAAGAACCCTTATTTCTGCCTAGTAGGGCAGTTCTTTGCAAGCATTCTACAAGAGGACTGAATTTCAGAAGAGACAAGAAACACAAGGGGAGTCGCAATATCCAAGGTCCTCATAGAACTGTATTTCAAAATATGGAGCAGCCAGACAGAGAAAGTAGAATATTTTATAGTATACACTGTACAAAATATGCCTCACAGCTAATCCAACCAGACACATAGCCAGCCAGGGCAGATCTACTAAATAAAGCCATGAGATCTTTTCCCTAAAATAGAGCATATTAAGGAATTTGGTGGTTCATAATACGCAATAAAACTCATAGCTGGCAGTAAACAGGATTGAAACAAAGTCATGGAGGATACATTCCTTTATTTGATATCAGCATAGAGTCCCATCAAATAACTGAGAAAACTTTATTCAAACATGCAAAGAAAAAGCAGGGATTTGTTTTGTGACTTACAATATTGAACTCTGCTCACTGGGCTGTGTCCATGCAACTAAATGGTGGTAATGCTCACTAGTACAAAATTTCTTCCTAGTTCCCATACCCTTATCATTTCCTACTGATTTTCTTCCTTTTTAATTATAGGGGATGTAGACTTTCTGATGAGTTCAGAAAAGAAAAGAAAAGCTTGTTGGTATTGTGAATTCTGAAATCACAGCAGAGGAATGCCACACACTTATTAGCCAAGTGTTTCCATCCCTCTGTATATGTGACTCTTCCCTCAAGCTAATCATTTTCTTAACCTTTTGCCCTTTCCGTGGCATCATAGCTATTTAGTAATATTTTTTTCCCATCTTGTAAAATGTGTGACCCCATTACCTTCCTAGTTGATTTACACAAAGATCAACTTAAATGCAAAGAGTAGTTCACAGAGTCTCTGTTCCATACTTTTTGTCTGAATATGTTAGTCAATACCCACTAATGCTCCCTGAGGAAAAAGACATCCAGATGATTAGGAAGGAAGAGGAGGTACCGCAGCTTTTTAAAGTTGTTTCTGGTGCCTTTTGTCTCAGTCACCAGCCTCACAACTGAATTTTCTGGAAGAGCTTTTTTCCTTTGAAAACTGCCTTCTGGGCTAACACTTAGAACATGTACTTGGAACCATATCCAACATAGGGTTGCAATTAGCAGCCCGTATAGCACTTCTGTTGACCAAATAACCAGCTGAGTTTATTGCTGAGGATGTATTCACAATATCACCATCTACTGAAATTAAAAGTTACTGTAACTGCTATGTTGTCTAAGCCAGATAAAATTCTATTCTCTTTCTCATGTCACATTAGCCATGAACACTAGTGAAAGAGCCAGTATTTGAAAAGGTGACAACTTTAATAGAGAAGAGCAGAAAAGATTCAACTAGAATATTTTACATGGGAAAGAAGACTCAAAATAAAATAATAAATAAATGAATAAACCAATACTGAAAGCACTTTTATCTTAATCTCAAGTGTTGAACAGCATTAGAATAATTTCTTTCAACATACGTATTAAAATGGATGAGTGTTCAGAAGAGTTGAATCAGTTCACCAGATGACGTGGCTACACTTCTAATATGAGAAATCTGTGTTGCCTACTGACTGTTGAGAACTCACCACTTGGAGAGGAGTAATGCTTTAAGAATATAGTTTGTATTTCTTCTCTTCTTGGAAAGTCCATGATGAGAGCTGGAATACAGAAGCACAGCATATGAATAAAGTAAATCAGACAGGAAAACTCCCACTTACCTCTCTTCTACAATGGATCGTCAGAAGAGTGTGAAAACTTTCTTAGAAAACTTATGGATTAAAATAATTTATAGAATGGAGTACCATACTGACACATAGTCCTGCTTTTAACCTTGAACAGAAAGTAAAGAAACAGTCAGCTTGAGAAGGCTTACAGAAAGAAATGTTTCTTCTAAAATTTTTCTAATTGGACTTAGTAACTGGACTTAGTAACCTAGTCTTGACCAGAGTCTATTCTTCCTCTAACAGAGATCAGTTCTATCGTGGCAAAGAAGCCCTGCATACTCACTGATCATTAGCAGTAGTAAAATCTATGCAAATTGATACTCTTCAGGTGAATGAAAGAATAAGAAAATAACAAATTTTACATGCTATGTCTGAAGGTTATGAGTACATGTAGAAACAGTATCAACAGGAAAATGTCAGCAGTGGACACATGCCAGGAAGAGCATAGACAGATTATAAAGAATTCAACACATATGCCTACCAGTCTGTATGGGTTCTCAGATGTTAAAAACTTAATTTTCATTCAAGGTGGTTGTGCTGCTGTTGGGATTTGAGTTTGATGATTCACCTTTTTAAAGCATAGCCCATCTTTCACAAATTTCTCTCCTAGGAAGTTGCAAAAGGCAAACAGAGCAGTGGGGAGGAAGCTGTAAGAAACAGGACATGTGTTCTTCACACCATATGATGCATTGCTCTCAACATTGTTGCTAAAAAGTTCCTGAGAAGCTTGAAGGAATGCAGCAAATGTCTGGCAAAATATGCAGAGATATCTGCAAGATTCAGGCCAAGCACTGAATCTTTCCTTCTTGCAGCATTGCTGCCCTTTCTGTTAGTTTAATTGATATAGCCATTATTCTCAGGAGGGTTAAAGCAATGTAAAGGCCATTTAGTCTGCCTATAATGTATGGGAAGCCTTGGGTAGGAAATCTGCCACACAGGTTTGTATAGCACCTCTCCCTCAGCTCCAAAAACTGGAGGGGAAACCGTAGAGCACAGTGTTACAGATCTGTGAAGTATGCTTGATCCTGTCTATCCCTCATCCGCCACCAATACAAGCGCTGCAGACCCATCCAATTTGGAAACATGAGTTCAAAAGCCTTTCCACTCTTTGTATGCTGACTTCTATGCAGCTGCTAAGCTTGCGCTTGATATGTTTATGTTAAGGGTTTGGTGCAAGCAGAGCTTATTTTGTATAGCTGTCTGAAAATGTCCCCCCCACCCCTTTTTAAAAATGGGCAAAAGACCAAATAGTTCTGTAAAGCTTTTAAGATCCTATAGTCTACAGAAGACATTTAGTGTTCTGAACTAAAAATGAACATTTTCAGGGAAAGCAGACATTTTCCTGGCGGAAAAAAATGTTATATTGTTAAAAAATGATGAGTTTAAAAGCATTCAGATGATCCTTATCACTAAAATATACTGAAAACTAAAGAGGGCAGTTCTGTGTGAATTTTGCAGCTTCCAAACAAGTATAGGTTCCTTTAAAGACCTGCCCAACACAGGCAGCATAGTGCCTTGATGGAAAGATATTTCACGTGTTGATAATTTTGTAATGTTCCACATATTTATTTTGGTCTCAAACCCACCACGAGAAAAGAAAGCTTGCAATTCTTTGATGAAGTGATTTAATGAATGAATGGCTTAAAGAATATATGTGTTTGCCATGCAGTTCTTTTATCCTTTGTTATATAATGTGTTCCTTTTTTGTCTCTAATCATACAATCATATAATGGTTTAGGTTGGAAGGACCTTTAAGATCATCTAGTTCCAACCCCCTGCTATAGACAGGGACAGCTCACTCTAGATCAGGTTGCTCAAAGCTCCATCCAGATTGGCCTTGATTGCTTCCATGGAGGCAGCATCCACAGCCTCTCTGGGCAACCTGTTACAGTGTCTCACCAACCTTACAGTAAAGAATTTCTTCCTCATATCTAGTCTAAATCTACCCTCATCTAGTCTAAATCTACCCTAATGGTTTAACAAAATGCGTCACATTGCTAAACCCAAGATATACTGAGGACCCTGGATCTCTGTGACAGAGAATCTGGTTGCAAACAAATGAGGTCCTCCTTTCCTGTTGGGTACTGGGACTGGTAGCACTCATTTTTTTCCAAGTTTTTCTTCGTACCAAACTGCATGGTTGTCTGTAGGCATTCTGTGTTGGACAATACAGTGTGGCAGCAGCACTTTCTCTGGGCAGCGCTGAAGGACCTCAGAGAAAGAGATTGAGCTGGGCTCAGCATAACACCTTTTCTAGGCAATCCAACAGCCTGGTGTACAAGGACTACATGCAGAGCACCATCAGAGCGCCTAAAGTAATGATACATCACCTCAAGAAAATGGCCCAGGACAATCTAAAGCCACAAACAGCCAGAATTTTAGTGTGAGTCTCTCCACTGACACCACTGGGAGGATTCATCTGCAGCATCAGTGAGTCTGGCTTTCTTTAGTTCCAGGACTTGCAGAACCCTCTGCAGAAAAGTTAGGTAGCATTTCTGAAATTTCTGGCCCATAGTTACAGCATTTATTCTGAAAGAAAGCTGACTTTTTCTTCAGAAAGATTGCATTCAGAAGCTCTTGTATTTCAAGTGTTGAAAATCGCAGTCTGCAAGGACAAGAAGTAATCCGGTGCTATTATCTCTCCTCAAACACTGTATTTATCTTTTAAGCAGAAAAAAATGAAGCATGAGACATCAGTGAACCAAACCCCTGTACCTCTCAGAGAAGATTACATGGGAATTCAGATGTCCTAGAATAATTCACAGATTCCTGAGTTCACATGAGCAGCAGCAAAAGAGGAAAATTGCTCCATATCCTGTAGAGAGGAAATGAAAGGTATCAGGAAGAGAAGAATGTGCTGTGTGGTGCGAAAATTCTGTTTTGATTCCTGATGCTAAACATCTGCCTTTGTGTGTGTGTGTGTATGTGTGTGTGCATGCATGTGTGGAGTCACTTGACTTAGTGAGAGAAAAGCATCTTCAAAATTGTGCAAAGCCTATTACAGACCCAAGCTGTCTGAATTGGCAGCTGTGGGAACACCCACAGGAAGCATGGGACCCTGGAAGAAAAAGTGTAGGAGTACATCCTGTGGGGATAGATAAAAGTCAGAGCCGGGCTATGGGAACCTCTTCAGAACAAACATGCAAATACAGTTTCGCAAGTCAAAGTCTCAACTGTTTGTTTAGGGATTTTTTTGTTATTTGTTGCTTTTATTTGGCTTTCACAGAACAGAAAAAGGATCTCAGAAAAAAAAAATGAAATCAAAACCTTAGATGTTTTCTTTATTGCTTGGTGTGAACTCATATGCTTCGTCTGCAGCACCACAGCTTGTTTTTTCACCTTGAAGTGGAGGAATGTCAGAGCTCACCTACTTCTTCCACTGAGTTTGCTACTCAGCCACACACAGCTAATACAAGCAGTGCTAGTGCAAAGCTGCCCATAATTTCTGCAATGTCACTGTCTTGCTGAGAAACGTCTCCTCTCATCTGTATGAAAAGCTACAATTCCCTGCTTTAAAACTGTTAGTGCAGAAGAGTAACAGTGGAAGTGAACTTCACCCAAGTATTTATTAATGGATGCTCCCAACAGCTGAACTCAAGCAGAAATTGGTGTCCTACCAATAGCTTACCACGAACATCAACAGGTGACTGAGACTGTCTGCCACAGGAACACATGGGCCCTTGTATTCCCACCATCCCTGTAATATACTCATCTTTCTATCTTTCTTCTTACCTTTATGTGCCCTTCTGAATAAAGCTAGATGGATTTATTTTTATCTTACCTAGATGACATTTTCATTTAATATTGGTGTCTGGCAATCTTCTCAGTCTTTCAGCCAACTGTCTGCTATTCGTACTTGTAATATCCTGCAACACTGGTGCCCAGAGATCAATTGCACATTGTGTCAATTATTCTTTTTTTCTTTTTGTGTCTGAGCATTCCCAATTCTTAGATCACTATGAAGGCTGAGAAGAAGATTTTAGTTGGCTTTCTGCCCACTATCTATTATTTTTCCTGACTCTTATGCTGTATGTTCTCTTGCTTTTTTTTTTTTACTATCCAGACTAAATAATCTTTTCAATCTCTTCTTACAGGGAATGTGTTCTCTGTTGCTTTCTAATATTTCTGTTACCCACCTAGAATTTGTTTCTAATTCTGTGTCTGCCTTTTTTAGATGATGATACTAAAGTACTTAAACAAAACACAACAATCAAATTAAGATATGGCACCATAAATGCAGTACATAACACTCTCCAAGAGACTGTCAACCCACTTCTAATGTCAGTTTTGTAAGTCATTTTTGCTGTCACACAGCCAGAACATACATTCACTGTGCTGTCCGTGATATCTCATAGTTCTTGTTTCCCACCAAGAGGTGACTACTAAATTCAGAACTTGTTCATATGAAAGAGTAACTTAAAGTGCATTTACATGTCCTTCTGCTGTTAGTTTCTAAATGATAGATGTATGGAAGGAAGGAAAGAAGGAAGGAAGGAAGGAAGGAAGGAAGGAAGGAAGGAAGGAAGGAAGGAA